AAAATCAGCTTATTTAAAGTCCCAGATTCCAACTTCAGCAGTCAGGGCAATTAGTACAAGGCACTGCTCTTACTACTTGGAATAAACTCATTAGGAAAACTGCGTAGGCACAGAGCATGATGAAACAACACACATTCTTGTGTTGCATACCAGAGCGACAAGTAAATTTCAAAGGTGACAGTCCAGAGTTCCTGTGATTTCACAGCAATCACTTGGCTGACCTGAGAACAGAACCGTCTTTGTTTACAATCTGCATTTTTTCTAACTCTTATCTACTCTCTTGCACTGTAATTTCCCCCAGCCCCCTTCTGTGCCTCTAGGTTCAGCTTTCTCTGCACCTTGCATTACGCTGTACAAATGTCCAGGTGTTACAAGAGACTTTCATCTTCCAAAACAAAAGGTGATGGACCAGGGACTGTCTGCACTGCAGTAACAAGTCACTGCCTAGTGAGACAAAAGACATTTCTTCTGGATAGAAGTTATGTGTTGTAAGCTGTTTGCTCTGGCTGAACAGTGAAACTAAATATATGCCATGAAGTTGCACCATCTGGATCCTGCTGCACTTAGGGAAGATGCTACCAAGTCTGCCCATTTAACATTATTTGCTGACTGAAGTGGCCCTATTCCCACCCCTAAGAATCTGCCCCATGAGTATTTTACATAAGCATTCCCTTATTCACCTAGTGAGGTCAGACCATTAAAATCAAATATTAAAGTCTCAGACTCAAAAGTGTTTGAAGAGGAGCAGTGATCAGCTGCACTAACGCATTCCATGATGATAGCTGCATGGAGAGGAGTGTTTGTTGGCATCATCCCACTCATGTGTGCTTAGCCAAAATAAGTACCCGCATCTGCAAGGCTGGACATGAATCTTCTGCATACTCCCTGGTAAGTGTCTGTCTCTGGGATGCTAAAAGCAGGCCACGGTGTGTGTCCAGCATGCTCCAGGCCCAATTGTCTGATCTTGTACCATTTGCCTGGGATAGGTTTTTGAAAGATATACTTTACAAAGACTCCTTTATTGCATAAAGTTTTGTGATTACAGGATATTGGAATGTCACCCAAGAGAAGTCTGATTAACTACCATTTTGTCATTTATTCCTGCTGACCAACAGGGAAAACAGTATTCCAGCCCTACGTGATGACTAGTTGAACATACAAACATCTCACATACAAAGGAAAATACTATTCTAGAAGCTAAGAGAGCATTCTCCTGCTACATTCCTCAGGCAGGATTCTTGGGCTAGGGACGGATGCAGACACGGCAATGGTGGGAGGGAGGATGATGATTTAACAGGACAATGCAATCTCTCCCTGCAAAAAGGAATGGCCATGGCACCACTACGCAGCAGCATATTCACCTGCCCCAAACAGCTTGCAGGCATGGTGCTGAGCAGAGCAGAAAATGCTTGAAACAACACTGTCTGATTCAAGATGTGCTGACAGAACAGATCTTCATTATTATTGTTATTATTATTATTACTATTATTATTATTATTATTATTTAAAGAAGCAGAGTTATTAACATATATATCCCAACAAAAATTTGTGCAGTTTCATTTTCTCAAGTGCTTCGGAAGCTTAGTGACACCTTCACCTTTGGTTCCCACCTGGAACTGATGCTGGCATCTAGGTCAGCACTAAGTACTTTGGAAACTGCTTAGAGTCTCATACAGTTAAAGGTGCCTTAAAAAATAAAAGTTTTCTCTGATTATTTATTTTGATGTCTTGAGACTGATTGAAAGTGAAAAAGAATTGTAACCGCAAAGCCAAAACCAGTAAACTTTATAAGGCAACCTCTGGAAAGGTGATGGAACAGCTTGTATTGGATGTCATCTCCAGACAACTGGAAGAAGAGGAGGTTATCAGGAGTAGTCAGCACGGGTTCACAAGGGGGAGGTCGTGCTTGACCAACCTGGTAGCCTTCTATGATGTTGTCTCTGGCTGGGTGGATAGGGGGAAAGCAGTGGATGTAGTCTACCTTGATTTCAGCAAGGCATTTGATACCGTCCCCCACGACATCCTTATAACAAAGCTGAGGAAATGTGGGATAGATGAGTGGACAGTGAGGTGGGTTGAGAACTGGCTGACTGGCAGAGCACAGAGGGTCGTTGTTGGTGGTGCAGAGTCCGGTTGGAGACCTGTAAGCAGTGGTGTTCCTCAGGGGTCTGTACTGGGTCCGGTCTTGTTCAACATCTTCATCAATGACCTCGATGAGGGGATAATGGCCACCCTCAGCAAGTTTGCTGATGATACGAAGTTGGGAGGATTGGCTGACACGCCTGAAGGCTGTGTTGCCATTCAGCAAGACCTGGATAGGCTGGAGAGCTGGGCAGAAAAAAACCGGATGAGGTTTAACAAAAGCAAGTGTAGAGTCTTGCATCTGGGGAGGAATAATTCCATGCACCAGTACAGGTTGGGGGATGAGCTGCTGGAGGGGAGCTCTGCGGAGAGGGACCTGGGTGTCCTGGTGGATGACAGGTTGGCCATGAGCCAGCAGTGTGCCCTTGTGGCCAAAAAGGCCAATGGCTTACTGGGGTGCATTAAAAAGAGCGTGTCCAGCAGGTCGAAGGAGGTGATCCTCCCCCTCTACTCTGCCCTGGTAAGACCTCATCTGGAGTACTGTGTCCAGTTCTGGGCTCCCCAGTACAAAAAAGACAAGGATCTCTTGGAAAGAGTCCAGCGGAGGGCCACGAAGATGGTGAAGGGCCTGGAGCATCTCTCCTACGAGGAAAGGCTGAGTGAACTGGGTCTGTTCAGCCTTGAGAAAAGGAGACTGAGAGGGGACCTGATCCAGGTCTATAAATATTTAAGGTGTGGGGGGCAGAATGGCGAGGCCAGACTGTTTTCAGTGGTGAGTGGAGACAGGACAAGGGGAAACGGCTGGAAACTGCAGCACAGGAAGTTCCGCACAAATGTGCGCAAGAACTTCTTTACGGTGAGGGTGACGGAGCACTGGAACAGTCTGCCCAGGGAGGTGGTGGAGTCTCCTTCTCTGGAGATGTTCAAGACCTGCCTGGATGCCTACCTGTGCGACCTACTGTAGGGAACCTGCTTTGGCAGGGGGGTTGGACTCGATGATCTCTGGAGGTCCCTTCCAACCCCTACAATTCTGTGATTCTGTGATTCTTTGACAGTGCTGCCTCAGCTGCAGGTAGGACATCCAGGATGTAGATACAGACATGTCATTAAGATACAAGAACGTTGTGGTCAAGAGCTATGAGGCAGAAGTAAGACAAAAACAAGTAATCTCTGCCAACTCTGCAATGCATGTGCCTGAGGGAAGAGGTTACCAAAGGGCAGCTGAGGAGGACTATTGAAAGGAGTCCTTGGGACCACCAAGAGAGACTCAGAACACCCAATACACGTGCACATAGGGGTGGAGAAGTATGCAAAGAACTTGTCAGAAACAATATGATTGTTCTCAGAAGTATGATGCATATGTACAGCTTAAGCATGTATATATAGCTACAATCTGAAAGCAAGGCATGTGAAGGGCTTGGAGAATATGCCCTACGAGGAGAGACTGAAGGAACTGGGGCTGTTCAGTCTGAGGAAAAGGAGGCTGAGAGGAGACCTTATTGCTCTCTTCCAATATGTGAAAGGTGCTTACAGCGAGTGGGGTTGGTCTGTTCTCACTGGTGACAGGGGAGAGGACGAGGGGAAATGGCTGCATGTTGTACCAGGGTAAGTTCAGTTTGGATCTCAGGAAACACTTCTTTATAGAAAGAGCACTGGAATAGGCTCCCCAGGGATGTGGTTGAGTCACCATCCCTGGATGCGTTTAAAAACCGTTTGGATGTGGTGCTCAGGGATGTGATTTAGCAGAGGGTTGTTAGAGTTAGGGTAGTATGGTTAGGTTGTGGTTGGAGTTAGGGTAGTATGGTTAGGTTGTGGTTGGACCTGATGATCTTTAAGATCTTTTCCAACCTCAGTGATTCTATGATTCTGCAATTCTATAGGTAGAGCTGCCCCCATTGCATCTGGCAGTGCAGTAAAGGAGTGCCTGCCTCTTAATGCTACATTGGTGTTAAGAAGCTCCTCAAGGCTGCATTCTGTTACCACAGTGTCAATAAAATAACTTTACTAGGGGTCAGTAACATTCTTCCCTGCTAATGTTCCCTCAAGTGGATGCAGAACCACTCTGTGCCAGCCTCCAAACTAAGTGTTGCAAAACAGAATTGCTTTTCCATAAACCACATTACAACATCCAGAACCAGCCTCTAAGGCTTTGGGAATGAGAGGAATGCCATCCACCCCGGCTGTTACCAGACTTTGGTTGTCCTTCTGCTACTCCCCCATCTCTCCCTTGCCCCGACTCTTTTTAAAGCCAGGATTCCGTGTCCTCATGATGTGGAGTTCAAAGCAGTGACCTACTGGACAGGCAGGCGGGGGCAATTACTAGTGTGGCTGTTTGTATGGACCTGAGGAGACGGTATAAGCCCGGGGTTATTTTGACAGCTGGTGCTATTGGGGTCACGCTGAAGTGTTTGTGTTCTCAGCTCTAGAAATATTTACTTTAACACAGGCAGTGTTTTGGGAAAGGCAGTTTTCCTTCACTCGAGTGATTCCAGCCCTCTTTCATCTTTTAAGCATTCCTCTGCCCTCTGGTGGCACAGAAGCACTCAAGGCTCTTATACTGATGGCGGTGCCCTCACTATGCAGGTGCAGATCCACAACCCCGGGTGCCAGGGCCGCACCTCTCGGGACAGACGGAAACGGGAAGACGAAGCCCGCTGACAGCTGACCGCAGACCGCGAGGTCCCCGGAACGGGGCGGGGAAACGGGCGTCACCTGACAGGACCCAACACGGCTTCCATTCGAGCCCGCCAGAGGTGGGCTGAGCCGTCTCGCGAGACAGACGTCTTTTCTCGCGAGACGCAGGCAGCGCGCGGTTTTTGGTCTCGCGAGGCGGGTGGCGCGTGGCGGCAGACGGCCCGGGCGGGAGCTCGGCGTTGGCTGCGCGCGGGAAGGCGGTAGGCGTGTGGTGGCTGCGCTCGGCGCCATGCCTGCCCAGAACGTGGCGAGCGGCAGCGGTGAGCGTCGGGCCGCGGACGGGAGCGATCGGGGGGCCGAGCCCGGGGGTAACCGCGCGCGCGCGGTCGTTGCAGAGCCGCCGGGAGCCGAGATGGGGGAACAGGAGGTGGTGATCACGCCGGCCATGCTGGCCGAAGAGGAGCAACTGGAGGCGGCGGGGCTGGAGAAGGAGCGGCAGATGCTGGAGAAGGTGAGGGGGGGGGGCCCGGGGCGTCCCCCGGGCGCGGGGGGTTTGTGCTGCTGGCACCGGTGTTGGTCGTGGCACTGGTCTGAGTGCTCCGCTCGGCTCTTGCCTTCAGGAAACGCATCCTGAAGAGCTTCGCATCCCCACCTCTCGAGGCATAGCCATTCCTGTGCTTCGTTTCCCCCTTGCTATGTGTGTTTTCAAGTGCTGATATTAAGGCTGCTCGGGGCATGTTGGAGCAGAGGAGATGGCTCGCGTTGTTTATCCCTGGCATGCGCGCGTCTTGGGGGCAGCTGATGTTCTTCGGCTTCTGGGTTTTTGAAGGTTTCTTTGTCACTTTTGTGGACCCCTTGCCAGGTGAGTTGTGCAGCAAAGGAAGCACTTGTTCTTTCTATGGGCTGAGGGTAAAATACTGCTATGTAAGTATGTGAGAATGTAGCGTGATGAAAGGCGAGCATCATGCATTTGGCCTAGTCAGTATAACGGGTATAAAGCCCACCTTTGTTGTTGGTTTGGATGGAGTCAAAGGACAAAGCGATGCCTATTCTGGAGAAATCATAAGCGTTTGTTATTGTTTGTCGTCTTTAGATTTTCTGTTTTTCCCTTGAAGTTGGTCAAGGGAAACATTCGTCAAAAGAAGCAATTAGTGGGAATAAACAATTCAACTCCTGAAAAAAAAAAAAAGTGTTAGCAATTCACTGAACGAAATAGCTTAATTTTACTTGCGTTATCTCTTGGCCTAGCCATCAAGGGTCGGTCCTCCTGGGCTCAGGTACTTCCATTTGAAGGAGAGCAGAAGCAAATGAAACTTTATGGCGAATCACAGGAAAGCCATCTAATCTCCAAATGACACGTGGAAATGGATCTTCCTCTCGTTAAAGAGCAGAGTGATAGCTGCTTTGTGATTTGGAGTACCGTTTTTGGAAAATTAAAGGCAACGTTTCTACCAGAGCTTTTTTGTCTTGCAGTTTGCCCTATCAGTCAGCTAATATCTGTAAATAGACTACTTGTTAGTTCATTTAGTTCCAGAAAATTCCCTTGTTTTGGTGTCCTAGTGTGCCCTTCCCCCCCCGCCCCGTGTTCCTTTTGAAGGCTGTGGCATAGATAAGGATCTCCCGAAGCTCTGCTACTTGCCTTCCCTTGGGTTTCTCTTGGAGATGCTAATTGAGACATTTTCGTGTGTTTGACATCTCAATGTAACAAGCAGTTTTGGGTGAATGCTTTTTTTACTTTTTGGAGGAGGTCTTGACCTCGGTTTTAAAGATGTCTTGCAGGCTTCTAATTGCAGTATGGAATAAATTCAACAAGTGTCACTTTCAAAAGAGAGTGGCAGTTCAAGCGCATGTATTTTAAAAGCAAAGCAAAATAAGTTACTGCTTTCATACTGCAAATTCACTTGGCCACTCTAAGCATTAATGGTTTAGGCATTAATAATTAGGCTGTTTAAATAGCTTGCTGATGTACTTTTGTGCCTATGGCTTGGGAAACAGTTTGCGGAATTTTGCGAAGTTATTTTTTTCTGCCAGGTTTTGTGAGCTGTAAATAAACTTAAATGACCTTGCTCTAAATCCGTAAACTGGAAATTAGACACCTTTGAGGCCTTGAATGCTTTGTCCTACTGCTCTGGAAGCAGATAGACTCAGAGCTCTGTTTACATATGGGAGCAAATCCAACCCTCAATTACATTAATCTGTGAGCACTTTGTAGAGAGAGAGAGAAATGTGGATTGGCACACCCACAAATTGTGGATGTGTTATGACTGAAAGAGAAGGCTTGTGTGTTTATGAGACAAATGCAATTAACCTGTAAGAGAATCCTTCATTATCTTAAAAGCATTGCATCTGAAGCGTGTATAAATAGGTGATGTCTCTGTGTTGGCCAGGCTCGCAGTACTTGGGACAGGGAGTCAAGTGAAATGCGCTACAAGAGGCTTCAACACCTGCTTGAAAAAAGCAACATTTATTCCAAGTTCTTGCTAACTAAAATGGAGCAGCAGCAACTGGAGGTAGGTGTGTTCTTGTCTACAAATGGGATTCCTAAGATGAGCTGCCATCTGTTTGGTTTTCCTGCCATCTAGCATTTTGAACTAAGATGAAAATAATGTATAAATCTACAGAAGGTATTGCCCAAGGATGAGGTGGTGCTTTACCCTGTATTCTGAGTTTGTCCTTAAAATATAGAAATAAATCGGGCTGAAAAGTGGTCAGACACAATGTAAAGGGTAGCACTGATGTCTTTAAAATCCTGCTGTTAGGAAGAGGAAGTCAGTATTTCAAATAAGAAACAAAGTTTTAAGGAAGCTAGAAAACCTGGAAGGAGGATTTAAAAACAAACAAACAAAACAACAACAACAAAGACTCAACCAGTAGGAATTGTGTGGCCTATTTGTGTTGTTTACTGATGGCTGAGTATGAGGCCTGTTTTCAGGATGCTAATGTGAGACAAATGTATAAATTACAGTGATCTGAGACCAAGCTGTTACCAATCAAACTTCCATAAAATTATTTGATGCTTTTGTTTTTTTTAATCTATGGGCTGCTAAGTTCATACTTGGCCTTGTCTCGACTCAATTAACTGACCCTGTATGTACAAACTTGTGGGAGTTTGAGCTTTAGAGAAAGGAGAAATCTCAGGAGAGGATGCAGGTTAATGACTGCTCAGAGAAGTGGCACTGGCAAGCTGCTGAAAGCTCCTTTCTAAAATAATTCTCTAGCTTTTCCTGTCAGTTTGGATTCATGTTTACAGCATTGATAGAGTGCCTTTTTCAATATTAAACCCTTTGTTACTTCGTTTTGTAATTACCAAGGTTCTATTATTTTTTTTTCCCTGGGTCCTTTTGCTTTCAGCAAGTAAAAATAGTAGATGATGTAAAAAAAAAATCTTTGATTCATCAAGATATGAACGCAATTATTCTTTAAAGGCATTTTAAGATACTTAGGTTGCTTTCTGTTCCACAATGAACACAAGTAGTAACATGTAAAAGTTGAAGAGGAGCTGTGTATATTGAATACTTAATGTAGCAAATGGAATCTCTTGAAGGAGTTTGTAATTGGGAATATCTTTGGAGTCTTGTTAAATTACTGTATTTGAAAGTGTTTTTAGAGTAGTGACTGACAGACCACTCAGAGCAGTTGCACTTTCTCACCTAAGTTTTATTTCATGATTTTTTTTTAAACAATGTCACTGTCAGAAGAGAAGCTTGTAGTGAGACTGCAAAGACAAGTCTGTACGGTACACAGAAATCTGGATTACCAATGGAATTTGCATCTGTTATTTCTACAATGGATAGGTCTCTTGTAGGTGTTATTTAAGAAGTATCTCTGTCTTTTTTAGGAACAAAAAAGGAAAGAGAAGTTAGAAAAAAAGAGGGAGATGATGTTAAAATCTGCCAAGGTAAGACTAGCTAGCTATTTTATGTAACTGTCCTGTATTTAAAGTCTGTCAAACTGCCATATCAATTTTGATCTTCTAGTCAAGGTAAAGAAGTTAGACTTGCCCAGTATTTAACTTGAAGATATGTCTATTTATAGAAACTTTTGAAGAGAAAAGATTTAATGAATGATTTTGCTGGGCCCTGTCTTGTTCATTGTCTTTATTGATGACCTGGATGAGGGCATTGAATGTACCCTCAGTAAGATTGCAGATGACACCAAAGTGGCAGAAAGTGTCCATCTGCTTGGGGGATGGAAGGCCCTACAGGGGGACCTGGACAGGCTGGATGGCTGGGCTAAGGCCCATGGGTCAGCCTCTTCTGCATCACTTACGATAGGACAAGAAGGAATGGCCTCAAGTTGTGCCAGGGGAGATTCAGGTTGGACATAGGGAAATAATTCTCCACGAGTAGTAAGGCACTGGAATGGGCTGCTCAGGGATGGAATTGCCATTCCTGGAAGTGTTCAAGAAACATTTAGATGTTGTACTGAGGGACATGGTTTAGTGGAAAATATTGATGATGGGTGGACAGTTGAATTACGTCACCTTAGAGGACTTTACCAAACCTGGTGATTCCATGATTCTATTATACCATGGTTTTTAGGTATGTGGTTTTGTTTTTTTTTTTTTTTTTTTAGGTAAAACTGTTCTAAACTGTGCTTAAAAAAATCACATAGTATGGACTGTCTTACTAAGGAGACTTTTTGACTAATTTTTATTAAAGGCAGTGGTATGGATTTGCCTTGAAAGCTGGTATTTTTTTAAGCAATGATTCAATGATTACTTTTCTTAGTCAACCGAGAGCCTAAGTGCTGGCACACGAAAGCAAGGATGAAAAAGACTGGTGCTTAACTGCCTTTGCTACTTTTTTTTATAGTAAACGTGCTTCAAAAAGCTTTCAAAAATAATGGTTTGAGTCTGATGACATATTCTTCATTTGTGTTGAGACAGAGTATGAAACTTCCTGTGTTTGTTTTCTAGACTCAAAGTCCAGCTGATGGAAAAGAAGAGAAATCAGGTAATGTATTAGACTTTGTTTTTTGTCAGTACCAGTGTTTTTAGTTCCTTCAACGTTTACTCTGTTGTATAAACTCAAATCTTATATTATAGCTACAAAAAAGAAGAGAGGGAGAGATGACGGAACATACAACATTTCAGAAATTATGTCCAAAGAGGTAGGCCTCATCTGTAAATGGACTTGTTTGAACTCTTGTAGCACAAATTTTAAGTAATGTCACAATCACTGTATGACATCAGTATTTTGTTGCAGTGCATCCTTATACGTTGTCATCAGACTGACTAACAGACAACAGTAGTCTGTAAGATATTTATTTTAGCAAAGATCTACTTAACAAGCAAACCTATAGAATCAAAATACTTTTCTTAACACCTTTAGAGAGGTGAGATGAGAAGGGAATACATCTTCCTATTGAATTTCCAGTTACCTCTTGTAATTGAAATATGTTTGCTGATGCATGGCCTTGTTTAGAGTCAATTATGATGTATGAAAATTTGTTTCAAGTACGTCCAGATTCTCAAAAGATCTTCGGGAATACAAATTTCTGTGCTTTTGAATCTGAAAGGCTACAAAAGTATGAGGTTTTTTTTCTTCTTTTCCAGGAAATCTTATCAGTGGCAAAAAAAAGTAAAGTGGAAAATCAGGTACGTTGGCAGATGTTAGAACAGTTTAAACATTTAGAGCCCAAAAGGAAAGAGGGAGGGCTTTCTAAACTTTGCCTGTAAATAAATCTGCTAGCTGTTGAAGACCTGAGCTATCACTGCTCCAAAGCAGTAAAAAATACTGCCTATAAGGTATTGAGATTTTGCATGAATACATCTGTTTTTATGGCATTAATGCTCAAAATAAATTCTACTCTTCAGTTGACAGTTACTCAAAATAAATCTCTGTGTCAGGCGCTGTTTTGCTTCAGTACGCTGTAACAGACTGGTGTAGATTCACCAGAGTTTTGATAGAAATATGTCTTAGCTGGGCTTTATTAACACATTCCATTTGTCACGTGTTCCTTGAACATTCCTCTATAGGATGAAAGCTCTGCTGACAACCTGTGTCCAGAAGACCTGCAGAAAAATGGGGACTCAAATAGTGTCATTAAGGATAGGTTGTGTCAAGCTGTCCGACACAGTGCCAAGCAATTCCTTGATCCAGTGCGGAAATTTAATGGACAACCAGTGCCTTTTCAGCAGCCAAAGATTTTTACTGGAGGTGTGATGAGGTGGTATCAAGTGGAAGGCATGGAATGGCTAAGGGTATGGAGCAACTGTTTACAAAAGTGCATCTCTTGCTGACTGGGGACTGAAACAGAGGGAAGGAGAAACAAGTCTGATTATAGTCAATACGGGGAAGATAAGAAGGAGAATTCCTTGTTTTTTTTTTTGTTTTTTTTTTTATGATACAAGAATCTGGTATTATTAAGTTGTTAATACTGTTGATATGAATTTAAAGGGTGGGGAGGATATGTGGATTTGTTAAGATTTCATTAGGCTTTATTTTTTGGTGTTCTCCATCTATGTTGTTGTTCAACTGCTTTTTCGGCCTCCCCTTCAAAGTGCTTTATGACAGTATATTCATACTTAACTTGAGGGGCAATCTTGCTGGTTTTCCTCTCTCAAGGACATGAGTAGCCCAGGTCTTTAGACTCAACTGCCTTGCAGGCCTGACACAGGTGACCGTTTTCAATTCTCTCTGCATTCTGAACACTTTACTAGTAGTATTAACATAATGTTTTAAAAATGTTTTGTCTTTAACATTTGAAATCAAAAGTGGGAGAAACATGCTATAAGCAAAAAATGCCCCTGTATGTATTTTCTCCCAGGTTTTCATTGCAAGCCAAATGAGGATAACTTTGCTTTTTCATTATCAGATCAAAATAGAACTTTCTGCTGCTGATCTCAGTTTTCTCCTGGGTTTTTTTCAATTCTTCCAACAAACGTGTATCCTGTTCTAGTAGGCTTTGACTCATCTCTCAAGTGATTGCCTCTAGACTAACTTGTCTGGAGGAATAAACAGCTTCCATTGTTGGACCCTCACTTATAACTTTCTTCATGAATAGTAGATAGAACAGTTAAAAGGCACTTCTGTGTCTTCCTTTCTATTCTGTTGTGAGAGGTTCTCTTTCAGTTTTTGAAATAGACAGTGTTTGCATGAAACTTTTGCAAAAGCTGCATTGGTCAGGTAATCTACTATGCTGAAAGTCTTCCTGTAGAAGCTACTTTAAAAGATAAAACTGTTTTGTTGTGTTTTTTTTTTTTTTTTTTTTTTTTTTTTTTCCTCCTAGTCAGATATTTAATAGACTCAAAGCACATAAATGCCAGACTATAATATATAGGTTTACAGGATGGTATTCTTACCACGGAGAAATTTTACTCATCTGATGTGCTTAGTAGAGAATTTCCAAATGCTTACAAATGTCTGTTGTTCCTAAGATTTGATGGTTATTCTGTGCTTAATGTCTTTCTTTGTGTGCGCAGATGCTTTGGGAAAATGGTATCAATGGTATTTTAGCTGATGAGATGGGGTTGGGAAAGACAATCCAGTGCATTGCAACAATAGCTCTCATGGTGGAGAGAGGAGTCCCTGGTCCCTTCTTAGTATGTGGTCCTTTGTCCACGCTTCCAAATTGGATGTCTGAATTCAAGAGATTTACTCCAGAGGTAAAAGAAATGAAGGTTTCTCTTCCATTTTTTTTATTTTTATTTTTTTTTTAATTTGGGTTTGAAAGAGCAAACTTCTGAATCCTTACTGTAATTCTTAGCCATGAAACCTCATAGAGAACATCAGTTGAATTGTGGTTGTTCACATAGTTACTACTATGTAACTGTACTATGGTGTGGCTTGCTATGTATTTACTGCCACCTTATAAGCAAGTTAATTATCATTACTATCTCTGTTTGGGCTTACAGCTTTAAATGAGCTTAATTCACCTGATTTCTAAGTCTTTATTTCTTCAGATTCCGCTCATGCTGTATCATGGAGCTCAGCAGGAACGTCGTAAACTGGTTCGTAAAATTCACGGGCGACAAGGATCGCTGAAAATCCATCCTGTGGTCATTACTTCTTTTGAAATCGCAATGCGGGACAGAAATGCCTTGCAGGTACTTCTTTTCTCACAGAAATCTGATGACAGGTGGGATGTCTCATCAATAATGGTAGTGCTTTTGAATATACATCTAACAGAACAAAAAAACCTGTGTGCTGCCTGTACAGTGTGATACTATAGCAGCTATGTTGGCATTCAGTTCTGCCATCATCTGTTTCATTGCTGACTGGATTTTTTTTATACTTAAGAAGTACTTCAAATAGAATGCTATCCAAAACATGAAGTAAGCAGGTAATTACAGCGTTTACAGCTGCAATTTATGTATTGCAACTTCCTTTTATTACCTCTGTGTAGACGACGGAGAGTAGACTTGGATGTAGAAATGTTATGATTTTAATATTGGAATGATTAGTTTGGTGATGAGAGCTTGTAATTTCAGTGTAATCACCAAAGCTTCCTGTATGTGTTCACTGTGAAGCATTAATTGTTTGGATTCTGCTGTTCAAGTCTGGCAAAATTGAAACAACACCAAATGCTGATCGTTGGCACATTTTGATGGAGTAAGCTAAGATTTACTGAAATGTCCTTTCTTTTTGTGTAGAGCTGCTTCTGGAAGTATCTGATAGTAGATGAAGGTCATCGGATTAAAAATATGAACTGTCGTCTTATCAGAGAACTGAAACGGTTTAATGCAGACAACAAACTGCTGTTGACTGGTACCCCCTTACAGAACAACTTGGCAGAGCTTTGGTCATTGCTTAACTTCTTGTTGCCAGATGTTTTTGATGATTTGAAAAGGTAGGTTGCAATTTGGTAGTAAAAACTTCTTCCTTTTGTTCTGTTTGGGCATTAATCTGACTCTTTAATTATTAACCTTGTATCAGCATTTAAAGAGCTCTTTGGTGCTGTGGTTGTAATTTGATATAATTGTCTGATGGTAGAGGCTTTGAAATGTGTATTGCTTTCACGGTTGTAGTTTTGGAAAGGAAAGAAGTAATCTTCAATTCCCGTTGATAGTAGAAACTCAATTCTGAACTAAATCGTGAGCTTTGGGGGAAACAGGGAGATGGCTTCTAATCATAAGGTTTTGGTACTGCTTGAGATTGTGTGAGCTGTTGGAGATGGCTGTGTGAGACAGGCAGACATGAAACCCACGGGAGACTGATGCTTTTCTGGAGCAGCATGGGGAGGTCAGGAACAATGCCAAAACAGTCTTGAATTTGACTGGACTTGGAAAATACTATAGACTATAGTGAGAATAACAACATAGTGAAATTCTAGCTTAGACAACTTTTTTACTTGTCAGTGTTAAAAACTTTAGCATCCAAACTGACAGGTATGTATCAGAAACATTATTACCTGTTCATCCTCTGTGTGTGATGGGTACTAGTGCCTTGTTTTTCTTAAGTCATCAAAGTTTGGAAAACTTCAAAGTACACAATGAAGAAGAGTAATAGCTATGAAGAAAACTATTCCTTTTTTTTTTTTTTTTTGCTTTGTTTTTGTAGCTTTGAATCGTGGTTTGATATCACCAGTATTACAGAAACTGCTGAAGATATTATTGCTAAAGAAAAGGAGCAAAACATCTTGCATATGCTGCATCAGGTTTTCACTTTTATTCTTTATATTGTTTTTTCATGATTTATTTCAGATGTTGGCCAAAATCTTGTTAGTGGAGGCAACTTATGGGAGTAAGATTCTTATTGTGGCACCTCTGGATTTTCCTTGATTTTTTTTTTTTTTTCCCCTCCTATATTTACAGCATTTATAACTGCTGAAAGGAACAACATACTATTAGTAATGCTTAGTTTTAGTTTTTGGAACCAAACTGGATTTAAACTTAATTGCAGTTGCTTGCTTTGGTTTGCCTAAAGATTTGGTTGGTTTATTGGTCTTGTGGAAAGGTAACCTTGAGGCAATTTATGCAACTCCAAGGTACTGAACAGAAAACCTTTTGACAAATTAGTTTTATGATTTGCCTGTCTTCAAAGGCAAAACTAAAGTAACACTCAAACTCTCTTTTTAAGAGGAAGAAAACTAAGTGCTTTACAGAACTGTTATTTTCCCCTTGTAAGCTGATGGTGGGAGGACCAGTAGCTGTCACTATGAAAAAATGAAATATAAAACTCTACATATTAAGTCCCTTAGTTTAAATTGTGAAAATAACATTTTATTGCTGGATGTGTTCGTTTTGTTTTTGTTTTTTTTTTTAACCAGCCCTGTTAAGAGCTCCAGTAATAGCACAACCTTTCAACATTTCAGATTCTGACACCTTTTCTACTGAGAAGACTGAAATCTGATGTTGCTCTTGAGGTTCCTCCTAAACGAGAAGTTGTGGTGTATGCACCCCTAGCAAAGAAGCAAGAAACGTTCTATACTGCCATTGTAAATCGCACCATTCGGAATCTGCTTGGAAATAATGAGGTATCTGTTGATTTGGGAACGTGCTTACCTGTTTATAGTTGGTGAGCAAAACCACATTGACATTGCTTCATTACTAGCGTAACTAAAAACCTTTTTTTGCCTTTTGGGGTCTGATTCTTTTGTTGCTGTTAGCCTCAGAACTGCTAATACGAATGTTAGTATGTTCTTGGTTACTTGTAGCTTAGCAACAACAAAAAAAGTTTTCCTTGAACTGATAGGTCAGCGAAGTATAAATGCAGTTTTTAAAAACCCCAGCACAAGCTCTTGAAACCTACAACTTAAATTTGGGCTTCTCTTTCTACTGAGTAAAATTTACAGCCCTGAATTCTAAGTGTGTTTTGATGGGGCATGTTGGTGAGAACTCTGTTCAGGATTGAGAATTCTTGGATGAGCATGGTTTAAAATTGAGAGGCCTGTCTGCTGCTGTTGATGATGATGTTATTTCCTACAGGAAGAAGTAGTTGAATTGGGTCCAACAGGCCGACCAAAGCGCCGTAGTCGAAAACTGGTGGATTATTGTGAGGAACACAATGGTTCACCTGATGACTTGGAAAAGTTGATCAACAGAACGCAAGAGGAAGTAGTAAAAGAGAGGTACCTGCCATAAAAGAATATATTTTTGTTACACTGAGTATCTCTCTCAATTTGCTTCCAGAGCTTTGCTTATACATTTTTTCTTCTAGGTTTTGCAAGCTTTGCAGTGTTACAGTGAACCTTTTGACCACAATGTCCAGTTATGTTTGTAGCTTTCATTGGCTCCAAGACAGGACGTGGAATAGTTTTTGTGTGCTAATTACAATTGACTCCTGTGTTTTTTGCAGTTTCTCAGGAATACTTAGAGCAAAGTTCAGACTTAGACTGGAGTAAAGGGGGAAGTGGTTTCCTTGTTTGATTTTTCAAAAATAAATAGGCTTAAGCTGAGATCTGAAACTCAAATGACTAGCGTGGTTCTTACTCTTATGGTGAGTTATATTGTCATGAAAGCTTACTGGTGATTATGATGAGAGTCAAGGGCTGGGATTTGAGATAGACCTTGTCAAACTCAGGACTTGTCAGCTGTCAATAGCTTGAAATTAGTTGAAGTCCTTTGAGTACAAGGAAAGCTAGGATTGAGCTTAAATTTGGGCAGTGAATCATATTTATTTTGCTAGATTTTAGTCCAATGTACGCTGATGTAACTGATTTAAGTGTATGCTTTTTGTTAGTTTTGTCACACTTGGATCCCTTATGTTGGATATAGCTCATAGATGTGGAAGAGCTAAATAGCTGCATTTGTGGTAGAATCCTGCAACGTGTAGATGGGGGCTGATATGGGATAGGCTGAGAGATGATATCTGGAATAGTTTCTTTTGTTATGCAGGAAATCTAACCACATGTTCCCAAAAGGGGCTTGTTTCTATTTCCTTTTCTGCTGGATAACTTGCACAAGCTGTTGTTTTCTCATTTCTGATTCCTGCTTATCACCCTTTAATATTTTAAACCAGTAATGAAAAAACTCATGCCTTCAGTGCCAAATGTGGTGCTAAAAGAGGCTTTGTCTGATAATACTTTTATTAACTGTGAGAGATCTAACTCGGAGATTTAGAGGAAGTTTGAAGCAACATGTGAGCCTATTGCTTGATATTCTTTTTTTTTTTTTTTGCAACATCTATAACACACAGTGACATTTTCTGTACTAATAAGATGACATCTTTTCAAGGCCAGTGATAGAAGTGAGCATGCCCATGGATTCAGAAGTGAACCTTAAACTACAGAATATTATGATGTTATTGAGGAAATGCTGTAATCACCCCTATCTTATAGAATACCCATTGGACCCTGCTACACAACAATTCAAGGTATGTATTTTAAAAAGATTAAGAAGGAAAATATTGTAGGCATCCAGATGTGATGGATTCTGTACAGCCAGCAGTGCAGAATAACCTTTTCAATGCATTTATGTGTGCCTCCCCACTGAATTTCAGCGGTGTGAGGGAATAATCATTTGCTGCTTCATGCAGCTGTAATTGCAAAGCAACTCTGTCCCCTTTTAGTCTTCTGTAGTGTTTATTCTACATTATGGAGGTGTTTGTCTTCTGGAAGCTAGGTTATTGAATTGAAATGATACTGCCTTCTGTTTAGTTGAGCTGTTTTAGGATCTCCTTGAAAAGGCTTATTTTCAGAACTAAACATGCTCGTGCTGATGAACTATTCATGATGTAAACTGTACATGTTGCAAAAGGTGTGGTGGTAGTTTGTAAGTGTGAGGTGCTATAGAACTGGCAATTTCAACTGGATTGTCTGCTTAGAATACGGCATCCTGTTTGCCTCTCAAAAGGGAAAAAATTAAAAGGTAAATAGAGGCCATTTGGTAGTTAATATAGATAAAGCAATTGATAATACAGGAAAGTATTAAGTAATTTGGGTTGAAAGAATCTTGATCAGCCGGAAGTTGCTTGCATGCTCTCAGTGTAGGTTTGTGCCCATGTGTGATAACGGATTTGGCTGCACCATCTGAAAAAAAACTGCCAAAGTCTATCAGTGCAAAGGCAGTGCATAAAAGCAAACAACCTAATGCTAACCTGTAGGAATTAAATAAAATAAAAAATGCAGGTGGCTTTATGCTTGCTTGTGGGACCTTAGCACCTGCAGCTTGTTCAGCTGGTGCTTCCAGCAGGTGGAAGCCTTGTGCACTGATTACCAATAATAGAAGTTGGGAAAGAAACAGCAGTGCTTTTCCACGTGAAAAGTACAGGAATGATGAAGGTTTCTCCTTCTGGAAATGGGATGGAAGCAAATTCATTTTTTCCTAAAATTACTTGGGTGTATGAAATGCTCGGGTTTGATTTAATTTGATCATGATTTAAATTATTCAACTTTGCAAAAATTAGCGTTGCTTCCAGTTTTACAGTTTTTATTTAAAAAGATGCTCAAGATTTTCAGTTAAAAACTTCCAATGAGCTCTTGTTGGTGTTTCTGTGTGATAAAAATCTTGATCTCCTTTCTTCTAATATGCAACCCCCTCTTCTGCCCCTTTTTTTTTTTTTTTTTTTTTTTTTTTTTTTTTTTTTTT